GCCTGTCTAAAATCTCCTGTGGCAACGGCATCCTCTTGTAATTGGATTAAACTCATAGCCGAAAGCCCCCGAGGATGTTCGAGAGTGCGCGTACGCCCACCCATTATATGGTGTACACTCGTACGCAAGCCAAACAAAGTGATTCTGCAATTGGAATAATGCAAATATGACAAAACAAAGGTAAAACTTACTGAAAATACGACTACATATGCCTCCCTTCCCTTCCCCGTCCCCATTAGATGGCATTGGATAGAGAGTTGTTGCCTCGACAACCGAAGCGGCGCGGCGCGGCGCGGCACGGCACGGCACGGTGCGGCGAAACGCGGTGCGGCGCAGTGGTTTAATTACATTTAAAAGACTCTCGTTTCACGGGGCGTATGCTTGATAACCCAGAGAAGAGCAAAGCAGGTGGGGTTGTGGGGGGTGCTGTTGTGTCGGGGGGAATTGAATGTGAAAGGGGATTGCATTCAGTTATTTGTCAGCCTGTTTGTTTGTCTGTTTGCGTGTGGTGAACATAATTCAATAAAGAGAATAACGAGTGACGTGCCAGAAAACTAATGAACTCAAAGTGAGGCAAACGCAAAATACGTGCACGAGAGTGGAGAGTATCAGTTGCATCCATCACGTTCGCTTATGCATTCCGCACACTTTTCTCTAATTGAATAATTAAAGCCAAACTGAAATATTCTGCAGAGGAGGGGGATGGGCTGCAGGCAGATTAATTTTGAGCTCGTTAGGGGAACAGCCATAGCGTTATTCTTTTTGCTGATTTCACAAGGTTTTTACTTACTTAAGCTTGAAAGCGAATGGAAAATCATCTTAAAGTCTTGCCAAATGCTGCCCGTCTTAAGTGCAGCTCCAACTGCAGCCGCAAAGACCCCTTGCATAGGCCCCCCTTCGTGCCCCTTCGTGCTGCTGCAGTCAGGAGTCAAAGGGAGATGAAGAACAGAGCTAACATGCAATCACGTTGACAGACTCTTTTAAGTAGAAAATGGTCGGGTGCAAAATGCAGCCAGAGAAAGAAAATAATCTCTCAGCTGGAGGGCGGGTGTTTTCTTGTGCCAGGAGATGCGCCAACTGTAGGGGAAACTTTGGAGTTCCATTTATGTTCGTGAGTCACGTGGCCATCCCCAGAGGAAGAGACACACACTCGCACACACCTGCTGACACACCCACACATGAGAGCTGATCCCTGCTACTTAAGAAAAACTAAGTGAAGCATATAAGTAGCAACTAATTTTCAAGCTGATGTAACAGCAGACGACACGGACGACGACGACGAGGACGAGGACGACAAAGGACTACAGCAGGAGAGACATCAACAGCTGTCTGTGCTGTCTGTGCTGTTGTGCGAGTGTGTTTTGGTGGCTGTATCTGTTCTAGTTCTTCTTCTTTCTTCCTCTTCGTCAGCTGCGCTTAATTTGCGCTTATTGCTCGCCAATGCGTAAATGGAAAAGAAACAAAAGACAAAGCTGGGCGGAGAACAGAAATCGTTGCATACTTTTTGGGACAGTCCAAAGTCCCTATGAAAAGAAGTGCTGGAGGGGGGCGTAGCAGCATCGAAACTTGCCCCAAAACAATTTAAAATTACCTCACGTCTGTGTGGGAAATTGCAAACGTATTGTGGGCGTGTCACCGACTCCCGACTCCCGCCTCCAATATATCTGGCAGCTTATAAGTCAAGTGCAAAGCCAAACCCAAACCCAAGCCCAAACCCAAAGAAGAAACGAAACCCAACTCGATCCCGGCTCCACTGACTACAGCAATTTTCGTTACAAAACTTTTGGGCTAGGCAAGCGAGTGGGGGGCGTGGCCGAGCGCTGGCAGTGCTGTGGCATTTTAAGTAAAATTTTATAGAGCATACCTTGCGGGTGCCTGTGTAGCGCTCCTAACGATGTGTGTCTGGGGGATGCGTGGGCGGTTGCAGTGGGTGAGTGCCGGCAAGGTGTTCCAGAGAAGAGCTGAGGAATGTTGCTGATGACGTCGCTAGACGACAGACGAATTAAGTGTTTCGTTATTGTTGCTGGATGGGTTGTGCAACGAAGCGTATTGCAGTTGCTAGCTAGCAGTGCCTCCGAGTCAGAGCCAGGCGACACAGGGTCGATTTGAATCTGACCAATGTGGGCAAATTACCTGAAATAAATATACATATGTATATGTATTCATTTAATAGATTTTCCCAATTCAATGAAACGTTTCTCAACCTTTTAGAAACTCAATTGGGTGCGAGTATGAAATTGCTCTTCCAAATATCAAATCGTCTGCTACAACTTTTGTCGCCTATCTTGGGCAATTGTCTGCCCAAGTCCAAGTGTCTAAGTGAGTTTGTCTGCCAGTCACTGTGAGTGCGTGCGACTCCTTTGCTTTGCCTGGCTCCAGCTCGAGCTCCAGCTCCAGTCGCTCAGGTCTGAGCTCTCAGCTACCAGCTCCCAGCTCCCAGCTCTCCAGTGTCTTGCCTTTTGCCACTTCCAAGCTCCAGTATTGCTGTTTCCTTTTTGGCCGAGGAAATGCATTATCCACTTAGGAGGCAAGAGGGAAAAAGTGCCTCGCTGGGTTAGCAGCTACTTAGCGCGCCAGGAACAAAGCTCTTCCAGCCCTCTGCTCGCAGAAGCCAGACAATCGTAAGGATGGAATGAAATGGCTGGTAATACTTCATTAAACTTGTGCTAATTCTCAACACCTTCACTTTGATTGTGTGTTCCCTTATGCCCTTGCTCCCTCTCTCACTTCACACATAAAAAGCGATTGACACGCACAGAAAACAGTCGCAGATACAATATCTATAGTTGCTGGGTTGCTGGGCAAATACTTCGGTTCTAATGAGGCAGCTTTAAGTGTGCTAAACTTTCACCTGGAGACGGGGAGAGTTCTGGTTCTGGTTCTGGTTTTGATTCTTGTCTGGTCCAGTCCAGCTCGGTCCCGGTGTGGTCCGGGTCTTGGTCTATCATGTGTGATTCCAGCCGTAAAGATAAAGCACCAAAGGCAGACGCACATAGGGTGAGTGTGGAGTGGGGGCCCTTCCCCACTTTGGGAGTCACGTGCAGCTGCTTAGCATCCAGCAGAGCAACCACCATCACACCAACCACCAAACTAAGCCAAAGCCAAGACCCGCTTCATTTCCCTCCACACAATATCAATAGAGCGATTGCCGGAGTTAGGGAGTTGGGGGTTGGGGGGTTGGGAGCTTGGGGAGAGCTGCTCAATCTCAGTGATTGACATGCGGGCGCTCTGAGATACGCATCACATTTCCATCAGCAGGCATTTAAATGGGAAACCAGAAATCTGGGAATTAACTTTAATATGAATCGTTTTGGTTGAGCTTAAAATAGATGTTCGCGGAACGGGTAGACTCATTTCGGGACCATAAATATGTGAATTGTCTAAAAGTTCGTTAAAGTTTTTTGCTTCATCAGCCCTAAAGTATTTCCTATTCCTCTAAACTTCGGCCAAAGTGAAAGGCTCTGCTGCAGTTTCCAGCTCGCAGAAAGTGCAATCAATGCCAGAAACAATGAGCGAGGAATATGAATCGTTGCGTTGACTTTTAGCAAAATTTAATTCAGCAAAGTTATGACAAAGTTTTTCCTCGGCGCCTGCATGTTCAACTGTCAACGATTTTCCGCCATCTTCCCCCTCTGGCAGTCCCTTTTCCCTAGTCCATTGCAATGTCAGACGGTGCCATGTCCTGCAGGAAGCTTTCGGTGAGCCGTTTTGTGATATGCTGCTTAGCTCTTGAGGATTTGCCAAGCCGCTTTTGTGTTTGGAATATTGGAAAACGCGTTTTACTTCTTCTTTTTTTTATACGAGCATGCTCCGATTTCCCTCCCTTCTTGACAAGTCGTAGCAAAGGGAAAATCTTTTATTTTCATCCTTGTTGTTGGGCGTACGAGTGCACGAGTAATGCAAATACCAAGCAGCTCAACGGCCTCACATTTCACATGGTGTTCGCGGGGGGGTCGGGGTCGGGGTCGGTGTGGTTGTCGGGGTGGTCGGGGTCTGGGGGGGCAGGAAAAACGTCTTAAAAGCTTCCGCCCCGGCTTTACATGCCACCGCTCTCTCTCTCTGTGGAATAGTACCGTTCGGATTACACACACATGACACCCATACAATCAATAACCATTGACAAGCCACAAGCCCAGCAACAACCACACAGCGACAACACAGCAGACGCATTTAGTCTCCCCCGCCCGAAAGTATGCTCGAAAACGTTCTTTATGGCTCCGCTTCTCGAGCTGCAAATCGTCGACGAATGTCATCGTCATCGTCATCTCGTTTCGTTTACAGCTCTCAACTTTTCGTGGCTTTTTCATATGATTTGATTACATTTTCGTATTTTTCGGGGGATTTCTTGGTGGCGCTGCACTAAGTTCAATTGACAATTGAAATACAATATTTTTATTTGTGCCCCGAGCAGACAGCAGACAGCATTCAGCATCTCCTCGCTGTCATAATAATATGAATATTGTACGTATTATTTTTGTCTGGGCTTTTCCGCAGAAACGATTTGTTGTAATGGCGTCAAGCGATTGGGTGGGTATCGAATGAAAGGAGAGGATTATGGCAGAGGAAGGGCAGCGCATTCGATTACTTTACTGCTCCAAGACAGCTAAAATGGGTCAGACACTTAAATGGAAAACCCTATGCACTGTAGAACCCGGAAGACTTTGAGAATCGGTTGAAAATCGGTTGATCCATATTTAAATGAATATTTAAAATACTCTAGCTAAATATGAAGTAATTTATTTTGAATTTGAAATAAATTTAAATCAAATATTTAAACTCCTTTTTCCAATTTCCACTCCCAAAAAAAATGTATAATTTGAGTGCGTCTCAGGATCTATTTTTATAGATTTTGATTTTTTTGAAGAAATTATAAACTTGTACATGCAGCACAACGATGTGTTGTCATGGAATCGTTTGTCATCATAGCAACCCGGTAGCTTGTTGACTTTCAAAATACAGCCAACAGCCAGAACTATAATCAGAACAGGCGACAAGCAGTTAGTTACAGTATGAATATATCATCAGCAATTTGGTAAGTTTTTACGAGTAACTTAAGAGGAGCTGAGCTAATTATGGTCGTGCCCCAGTTGGTGCAACGTCTGGGACAAGAGCAGCATTGCCAATGTGGGCCCCGATGTCCTCAGCCTGCGCAATGGGAACGTGATCAAGTTTGTGCACCTGCAGACCAAGGCCGTGAGCTACTTCAAGGCGGAGACGGTGGCCACGGGACTGTACATCAGCGTTTATGCCGGACACAATCGCTTCCCCCTTTTCGCGTTTGCCGAGGTGCTGCTGCGGCCGCACATCTACATCTACAAGTATCCGGAAATGGTCAAGTTCAACACAATCACCCGTGAGTAGAGAGATAACGAAAGGTGGCTGTGACATGCTGATGCTGATGCTGATGGTGTTGGTGTTGGTGTATCATTTTAGCCCACATGATCAAGTACAAAGACATCCGCTTCTCGGAGAACGATCTGCTGGTGGGCGTGGGCGGGTATCCGGACTTTCCGATCTGCGTGTACAACTTCCGCACCGGCAGCCTGATCGTGGAGCAAGTGACCAACGTGCCCACCGTTGCTCGGAGCCTCTTCCTGAGCAACTCCAACCTGCCGACGATTGTGCAGTTCCATAAGCCAGAGATGAGCATCCTCTGCTACGAAATCTGCTCCATCGAGAAGGAGTCGAAGCTGCACCAGATCTCCTATGTGGATGTGGGCAAGCACTTTCTCAAGTCCTGCGACAACTTCATGTGCTTCGGCGACGACAATAACCTGTACGTGGTAAACGACTTCGGCGAGCTCTTCCAGGTGGACATTGCCTGCTTCTTGCTCAAGAGCCAGTGGAAGCCCGTCTATCTGCGAGAGGATCTTGAGCACACGGGGGCTCGTCCTCACGCCTTGATCTCACATCGCATGGGTCTGCTCATCTCGAATAACACGCATGCCTTCTACGTGAAGAAGAAGGCCGGAGGCTACTCGGCCGAGTGGCTGATTGATCAGCAGCGGTTGGGGGACATTAATAGGTTCTTGAGCAACTACAACGGAGAGATCTATGCCGAGGAGCGACTGGGCAGCATCGCTCAGGTCGTGGTCGAGGGCAATGTAGGCACGCTGGAGGACGTCGTCCCCACTGGCAATCTCGTGATCACATTCCGAGTGCTTGCAGGGCTCAAGGAGGAGTGCGTGTGTGTCCTGCACAGCGACAAAGTGGCCATGATGGACCTGGCCAAAGGGAACACACTCTGCGAGGTGGCAGTAGCCAATGCCAGCTCGATGCATTCGCACCGCATTATGGCCATCGTCATTGTGGGCACCGATGATGGACGTCTCTGCATGATCCACTTCGACAAGGCTTCGAGTGCGAGTGTCACGTACGAACTGGAGACCAATACTATGGGGGTGGCTGCCCTGGATTTCCACGACGCTTGGCTGGTGTTTCAGGACCAGGTCAGGGGCCTGCACATCGTCCAGCTGGATTATCGGCCCCCCAAAATGACGCCCTACTTGGATCTGAGCCAGCACCTCAAACAGGTGTTTGTCCACAGTTTCATGCTGGTCGAAGGCCCCCGGCTTATTGTGGGCATCCATCGCGATGAGAACGTAAAGCTTCCCGGCTACGCGACCGAATGGTGGATCTTCAACTGGGGCAAGGACAAGCGTCTCCATCGGCGGGAGTATCCACTGCCCAATCCGTACGTGTCGTTCTGTGTGCAGCCGCCAATGGGTCGCTGGACGCAGATCGAGATTATTGGGGTGGCCTTAGACTCGCCCAACTTTGATCAGTTTCTACTCAACGAAAAGGACGAGATACAGTGGCTCTCCTCCGTGCAGACGCCGCACTTTGGCTACATACTGGGCATCATGATGACCAAGAATCTGCTCACCTGGAGCGTGGGCGGCATTGTGATCCATTTCCGGCAGCACAAGCGGGCGCGAAAGCCCTTCATGGTCTGCCGCTTCCTCAATCTGGCATTTGACCCAGAGAGTCTGCTGCGCGCACGGGAGTGCTTCAATTCCAAGTAATGTGTGGGATCTTTCTTTCTTTCCTCTTAATCAATCGCACTCGTCTCCGACGTGTTTTCAGATACCTGATTACCTTGATGTCGAACCAGAATCTTCGAGTGACGCGTCTGCCTTCGCTTTCGGACTTTGTGCGGGAGAATGTAGAGCGGCCGCTGCCCAACGATGACGTAAATCTGCTGGAGCAGACCAACTACAAGGTGAACCAGTTCGTGCCCATCACCCAGCGGAAGACGGAGACGAAGGAGGAGTACACCAAGGCGGACTTATTCAAGCGCGAAAAGGTCTTCACGATGATCGGGGAGTTTTCCGCAAAGGTCACGGAGCTCATAGATTACGATATTTCGGTGACGGGCAAAACCAAGGGCATCTTCAAGAAGTTCTGCTTCAACTACAAATGGCTGGATACGCTTACAGAGGAGGCCCACAAGCTGTGCGTCCTGGAACGGGAGTCGCTGGAGCGGGCCATCGAGGATCAGTCGCGCATCCGAGACTGGATCATGCGGCTGGTGACCCGCGAGGCCGTCAGCATCAACTACAAGGTACGCTCCATCTTTGCGGACGCCAATTTCGAGAGCTTTTCGATGCGCCGCAAGCCGGACATGGTGGAGTTCGACAAGTTTCGTTTCTACGACCTGGAAGATCACATCCGCATGTCCATGGGCTCCATGGACGATATGGAGGAGTTTATCCAGCAGCAGCGTAAGACCCCGGCTATTAAGGCCCCTCGTGCGACCGATACAGAACTGGAGGGGGAGGAAGAGGAGGTGACAGAGGATCCCAAGGGGTTGCAAGAATTGAAGCCTTTTGTGGTAGAGGGCCCCAGTGTCTACGAGCACATTATGGCCCCTGTTTTCCAGCTACAGGACAAGAATGTTGTCACCTCGAATCAGCTGTACAACGAGACCTGCAAATTCCGGTACTATCTGAACGATCCGCTCAAGCAGGAGTTCAACAAACTCTTTCACGAGGCCCAGCAGCTCAAGCAGGACACCATTGACAGCGTCCTAAACACCAACAAAGTGCTGTACAAGATCTACGACAACATGAACATAATGCTGCGTCTCCTGAACATGGATCAGTTCGAGCCTCCGGATCTGTCGATGCCTGAACTGGCCAAGGACGAGGTCATCAAACGCATCATGGAGGTGGATGACTCGGAGATCAAGGCTATCAATCGGCGGAGGCGCAAGACCATCGATACGGGTGGCAAGAAGGGACGGCTGCTGCTCTGGTCGGTGGAGTTCTGGGCTCGTGCCCTGATCGTGATGATGGACGGGGTGCTGGAAAAGCTGTGGGAGGAGGAGATCAAGAAGGACATACCCATACCCGAGTTCATGCTGAAGAAGCAGCCGCACGAGTACAGCCTCGAAGATCAGAAGGTCTTTCGCGTCTACGAGGAGGCCGTGCGCCAGCTGGAGGAGGATCGTCGCAAGTATCTGCGCATCCTCGCGGACAACGAAGCGAAGACCCTGGATCTGAAGAGCAAGCACATACTGAAGCTCAATCAGCGGGTGGCCGAGCTGATGATCCTCAAGCTGAAGTACGACTTTGCCCTCAAACAGAGCCGAGTGCGTCTGCTCACCACCGAAGTAATCAACTTCAAGCGCGTGCACATCCGCAAGCGAATTGGGATGTTCCGCACCGACTTCGATAAGCTCAACGACTACATCAGTCGCTATGGGGCTCTATTGGACTTCTGGGAGAAGGGTCTGGCCGATGCCAAGACCCGCCTGGAGGCCCAGCAGACCAGAGATCGCGCCATTGAGCGGTACTTCCGCAGCACGTTCCTCAACACGGTGCCCCACGCTCAGCACGAGATGACGAAGCTCTTCAAGAAGCGGCCCAAGCTGCCGGCCAAGGTCTTCAATTCGGTGCTCATCTGCATGGAGACCTCGCACAAACTCAGCGGCAAGCAGAGCCAACGCATTGCCTTCCCCCTGCCCAAGGAGATCCACGAGTTCCTGGCCTACATTGCAGAGATCGATGCGCCCAAGAACTGTCCGCCCCAGGTGGATGCCAAGAGCTGGGAGTCGTTCATCAAGCTGCGACGCCAGAAGATGGAGAGCGAAGTGCGTCTCAAAGCGGTCGGCTATCAGCTGGCAGACGGTCAGAGCTATCTCACGAGTATAGCCAAAGATTTGATGGCCCTTAGGGACTCCAAGAATGTGACCCAGAAGAGCTCTGAGGAGAGCGTCCAGACATATGTGAGTTGTGCCTTCAATTCCGCCTCCAACCATGTGCCTAATCTTTCGATTCTCAGCTGGAAGTAATGCGGAATATGTCTCTCCAATTGACCCTCACTCTGGGGCAAGTGGAGGTATCGGTGATGGGTACTGCAGCGGCCCTAGCGAACACCGTGCTGATGCATGTCGATGATATCAATGATGTGAATCGTTTGATAAAGGTGGGAGTTAAACAGCCAACTGGTTTCCCCTAATTATTCCTTTCTTCAGGATGCTGGCAACAAGAAAATCAAGGCCATGCAGCGTGTGGCCATCTTCCGGCGCCAGGTGATCTTCAAGGAGTGGGAGCACAAGCTATACAAAGCCAATATAGCATACCTCAAGTATATGCTCGATGCCATCGAGAAGTGCAAGGTGTCCATGGAGTTCCTCAATATCCTGCGCAACTGGGAGAAGGTTAAGGCCGAGCGACAGAAGTACATGGCCGCTGGGGCCATTGAGCGTGTGATTCAGCAAAAGATAGCCGCCTTCAAAAAGCACATCGAACGCATGTAGGTTCTCGGACAGAGCTCTCTAAAACCAGCTAAAAACGTTGCCCTCAACCCACTTAGCAATCTCAAAATCGACATGGTAAAGGCCAAAACTCTGGAGGTTAAGCGCAGCAGTCATACAATCGATTTCAAAATCGAACGGATCAAGGTGGACGTCACATTCCAGAACACCCTACGCGACACCATGATGGAGGAGAAACGAGATCGCGAGCAGCGCGAGCGGTGAGCCCGGAGAGATCAATCCCTGGCCCCACACAATGATTAGTCTCTCTCCTTCTCGTCCCGCAGAATGTCTCAGATTAAAACCCATCGCCAGCTCATGGAAAATGTGCGCCGGCACTATGCCCATGTGCTGGAGCTGCAAACGATACTGGAGCTGCTGCGCCTGCGCACCTATCCGACCTTGGGCCCACCTTTGCCCCAGTGCCTTCCTCCCGTACCCGAGCACATACTCAGCTCGGTGCCTCCATAGACGCTCACAGTTCACAGAAGTTTTAACCCTTCGCCCTGCTGCTGGCAGAAAGTTTTCGCAGCACTTCCCAGAATTGCAATTAAATGTTTTCATTGCACCAAATGAAAATTTATTAGTGGTTCTTGGCTGGCTCTCAGACGGTGGGTCTGGGTCGGGGTCTCGTCTCTGGCCTTCGCTGGCACTTAATTGGGTTTGGTTTGTGTCTGGGAAAATAACCAAGACAGGCCTGGTGCCTGGTGGAAAATCATCTCCCTGGCAGACTTGGAAAGATGAGCTGGAGTGGACAACGCGGCATTTGCGCTACAAAGTTGTACAAGAAATTGTCTTAATGGATTGCTCTTGAAATGAAGCGTCAGCAGCCAAGCAGCAGGGCCAAGATGTGGTCGGGGGCAGCATAAGGGGCAGCTGCCACGCTTTCAAGTGGAGAAGCGTGGCAATCTTTTGGATGGCCCTCTTGGGTTAAAGGGATCAAATTTCTATGTTCTCTGCCTTTCTCTGGTTATTAGGTGAAGAAAGTCACTATTCAGTATTCAATCAATCAACGAATCTTTAATATATTCAACCAATTATTCGAAATAAATTGGATTTCTATTTGCCAACTGCAAATGTCAAAATACTCGAACCAACGACAGCATTTTGTAGTTAGAAATCATTGCATAATATCTGTACAATGAACATATATAAATATAAGCTCTATCCGCTTATCTGCGCCCGTCCGTCGAAACTAAAAAACTGTACTTTTCATGCGCTCAGTGAGTTAATTCTGACACTGAACTGCAAATCATGCTGGAAATTAAAAACTTTATATATGCGACCCCGAGTGATGAACCCAAGTACCGACTGACTGAACGGAAAGTGTACTTAGGCATACATATACATATGTATGTAAGTCTGGGTAGAGCAGTCCAAAAAACTTTTGGGTTCCCCGTACAGTTTTGATGACTTATTCAAAAGAGCACCGTAGATATTTCCGGTGTCAAGAGTCCAGCAGTCATCGCACGATAGAATAAGAGAATATGGGGTTTTTAATCTTCTTGTTCATATATGTATAATACACTAATGTACATATATTGGAATATAGAACACCTTATCGGTCATGCCGAAAAAAGACAGGCATCAGCAACAGCATGAGACCCTCAGCCACGTGCTGTGCGCTGATGTAATCTGTCTAATCAGAGACTGAACTAATTTTCAAATATATTCAAATACTAGAAACAAAGCGAGAGAAAATGTTTTCTTATCACCTTACTCGTATTTTTACTCTAGAGGAATTTGTGGAATGGCGCTATTCCATTCGGCTCCAAGGGGAATATCCACAGCAGTTTTGATACATATGATAGCCATATATAACCAATAGGAAGTGAAAGGGAATATAACTACAACCACAACTACAACTAAGCGGAAGAATTTTTGGAGATAAGCCCTCGAAATGTTTCCGGGTGCTGTATTAGAAGGCGTCTATTCCCTCCACAGCGGGGCTCAAACAAATAGTTGCACTCAATTTACGGTTGCAGAATTCATGGCAATCAAACTATGCCAAAGCATACTATTATATTCGGTTTTTATATACAAACATAGGGAACTTATATAGAATTCACTTAGACTTCAACATAAATGTTTTGAAAGGGACTTTTTGTTGAATGAATATTCGTTTAAATCAAATATGAAATATATTTAAATCAAATATTTTCATATCGATGTTCAAATGTAAGGAAACAAAATTTTGCAATCTTTTTACAATTTCCACTTTCGGAGCAAGTCGATTAGTAGTGTACATAAATCTAAGTCTAAGTCTATCTAATATATTTACATTTTCAGGGTTTCTCTCTCTGGGTGTGTGCGAACAAATCGTCTAGAACTTTGAGCACTCTACTTCACTCCACTCTCTTATCTGAGCGGACCGGGTCGTACGCTTCTAAGCACTTGACCTTGATAGTGGCGCCGGTGATAAGCCCGGCTCTCGGTTTCATCTCGGCTGCGACGCAAAACGAGCTGTCGTTATGAGCAGTTTGGCCATAGCTCGATCAGTACTCAAGTCAACGTTCTCCAGTAAAGAGCAGCACCAGTAAAACAAACTAAAAACCAAAAATGGCCAAGATTGCTTTGATCTTCTTCCTGTTCGCCCTGTTCGCCGTAAGTGGAGATAGAAGTGGTCGAAAAGGAACAGTGACTGATTGTGCTTTTACTGTTACTCTGCTTTCAGGTGTGCATGTGTGCTCGCGTGCCTCGTGAGGAGCCCACCAAGCCAGTTGAGGCTCAGCTCAACGACCTGCTGGCAAAGTTCAAGGACTTTTTCAACGACGACAGCGTTAAGGTAAGTCTAGCCGACACTAGCCGACTTTAACAGACCAGACAAAAACGTATGCCTAATTTACTCGATTGCTTCTGCAGGACTTCCAAGATAAGGCCAAGGCTGCTGCTGAAGAAGGTCTTGCTGCCTTCCAGAAGTTCTCCAACAGTGTGAACGAGCAGATCCAGAAGGCGCCCAAACCCTAAAAATGCAGCTCTTAAGCAACGAATTTCAAAATCAACTCAAAACATGTTGTTCCCAATAAAGGTTTAAACTACAATTTAAAGGCTTTTAGTGTCAGCTCAAAAATGCAAAAACATCCACAAACGGAGCTGGATCCGGGACATGGCACACAGCCGGTACAGGGCCTGACGTCCCGCCAAGGGCAGCTCCTGGCGTTTTGCGCTCTTGTTGTTTGCATCGAAAATATGGCGGTAGATACGCGGGCGTATGTCGTGCAGCTGCTTGGCGCTGCAGACACTTTGCGGCGTCTGGATCAAATGGTCGACCATGAGGGACACTTGTGGGGTAGTCAATAGCAACAGCTGGCAGCTGACGGTGATTATTTCCCCAACTCTTTTCAGACGTAGACGCAGCACCCAATTCTCCTCAAAGGCACGAATCGTCTGTGGGGATCGGGATAAGAGATCGTCAGAGGTATGCTGCAGACGAGTTCTGGTTCTCCAAAACCTTACCTCAGACTCGAGGGTCCGTAACTGTGAACCCTCTGAGCGGTGTGTCCAGTTCATTCTCAAGGTGAAAAATTCCACCTGGCTAGCACTCAGCACCCGATGGAGCTGCAACACGGGCTTTTGGGCCTCAAGCTCCTTGTTCTCGACATTCAGCAGAATATCTAGGATTTCCTTTCCCTGCTGCTGGGGAAACCCACAGTCGGAATCATGTGCGACGCTATCCTTGTGGGGGCCTTTCCAGGGACAGCCCAGGCAGTGGTACTTGCAGCAAACCACACGCCCCTCACAAACGAACTCCAAGTGGCTTGAGAGATCTTTCCTATCTGGGAAGTGTTCATTGCAGTTGGGGCAGCTGATGGGTAGCTCCCCGAGGGTCTGGCGCACCAGTAGATTCTGCTTCTGATCGTGGCTTGTAATGCACGATCGACAAATGGGGCAGCAGGCACCCGTGCCATTGAAGATGGCAGCAGCCAGAACGGCGGTCCTGCAGTCGTCACACATGATATGCCCATGTGTGCACTGATAGAAGTCGTGTGGTTTAGGAAGCTCGCGGCACACAACGCACACCAGTAAGCTATGCAGTCGCTCACGAAGATCGGAGACGCCACCACCCGAGGACCCGCCGACCTCACCCTCACTGCTGTCCACAGTTGTCGAAATCTCATTCAAAGTACGTTCATCTATACTTGCAACATCTGACAATCGCTGCCTCTTGGCGGCTGGGGGCTGCTCGTTGTCGCTGTCGTTGTCGTTGGGGTTGGCATTCGACATTCTGAAGGGTATTTCTGAGTGCCTGTAGTTGCAAAGTGAATTTATTGTCTGGTGTAAAGTACGAGCACAATGAATGATACGAGTTTTCCAAGGCCAAGCTGTTTCCTGAAAATTACAAATTTCAAAAAAGAGGCTACACTCAGAGAAAAACGGCATAGTAGGCACCCATGAATAGAATGCACTTTGATCTACACATAAATGTATTCAAAAATATTTGAAATGCGGCCCAAGGCGTTCAATGGGTCTGGTGGGGTGGTGTCTCGGTGGGCTGGTGGGCTGGTGGGGTGAAAAGTAACCTCTTTGACCGCCAAAGTGCTCTGCTATCGCAAACAAGATTACGGTGCCTATTACTCTATGTCTCATGTAGTACATCTCAAATTTCAGCGCAATACATCCCTTAGTTTTGCTTTGACAGCTCTTTGTTGCTGACGTGTTTTTTTTTCTTTCTTTCTTTTTTTTATATTTTTTTTTTTGGTATTTGATCGCAAAGGAAACTAACCTGCAATTATCAGATACTTGATGTATCTTGGTTTTTTGTTTTTTTTTATCTTTAAGATGTATTAACATCGACTGACGGAAACGAAACGTTTGACGATTTTCGTTAGCTTCTAAAGCATTTTTTTTGAGTGGCAAAACAGGAAGGAAATTAACGAAAAGTTGGATGAAAAGAATGGGGCTAATACTCCGTCGATTCACACCGACTCATCGATACAAAATTCAGCTCGCGTGAGGAGATCATCGACGGCGCGGAGGAGACCTTTCGGAAATTACTTTTCGGACGGGATCAAACAGTTGGATAATCACTGCAATGAGTGTTTTTTAATGAGTGACCATTGAATAAAATAAAAAATAAATTAATGGGGTGGGGTGGGCGTTGTCTCTGCGAGTCCCAATAGATAGCTAAAATAGTTTAAAGCATACTTGATACTGTTTAAATTTTGTGTATATTGTTCATACAAAAATACTCTCTGAGCAAATCTATGGGTATACATTTGGTAATCTATGTGTATAGATTACAATTTCAGAGCTATTTTATTCTGGTTTGTAGAACTCACTCGACACTAAATTGAACAGTTTGCAAAATCATAATTATTTGACAGCTTTGTGCGTGTCCCTGCTTCGGCTTTGTTTATTGTGCGGTGACCTGGTAACCTCCTCCTAAAAACAAAACGACATGCAAATCGAATGGTTCCCCTGACACTAATCTGGTGTGGCTGCCGATACGGATAGGGGCACTTACATAGAACGTACAAATTCCGAACAGGAAATACTATCTCATTTGGCAATTATTGAAGGCAAAAGCAGGAAAACGATTCGTTTGCGGGGGGAGAGGGGGCTGACGGGGTCGGGCAAACAAATAGCTGTGAAAAGGTGACATCTGTGAAATATTTGTCAGTTATTTTGCACACCTGTCTGAGCAGCAGATTGGGGAGAAGAGGGGCCGCTTCAAACATGAATAATGTATTGGCCCTTGTGTTGCTGCCACATGCTCTTCCGCTAGGCCCCTTGCCACGCGGCGGAGTCATCGCACGATTGCATAATATCAAAGTGGATTTTTCTCCACGCCATCAGAGCGTATCGGAAGCAGGCTAACGCTATGGTGGATAATGCCAAATTGTTGCTTAGACACTTTCGATACGAGTACGAGTACTGACAAACATCCGTGAGCCGCTCCTTGTGTAAATACGAGTATATGTACCTATATATGTATCTATATATATGTATATATTGAGTATAAATAGATCGATTGGCATTTTTGTGTGCAATTCCTATGGCATTGTTGTGTGAAATTTGTGAATGTTGTGAATGCTCTTGCTCAGAGCTTTTCTTATGCAAACGCGTCGGGGCTCTTACTCATCCTGCCTCGAACTTTGATGTGTGCTCATGGAGGTGTTTGTAACAGGTGTAGTAGAATTTGTCACACGAATGGGCAAATAGATTGGCCTCAGACCTCGGAACAGCGAGAAGCAAATCGATGTGTTCGGAAATGTCGATGAGGGTTTCATTTGGCAAATGATTTATGTACTATTATCGTGTGCTGCTCCCCGCTGCACCGCTGTAATCAGCACTTCAAATTTCAGCTTTAAGCTGGCTCCCAAACAATTGCAAGCCAAATTGAAATGGGACAAAATCACACATACGACATGTGTGGCCCCTTGAAAGCCATTTGATTTCATTTTACCCTTTGCTTGTCAATCGCAGGCAAAGCGATTCGAATTTAATTAAAAATGTATTAAATTCTGCGACACAATCACAAAGAAATGCAAAAGTGCGCCACTGAAAGAGAGATAGGGGGGGGCAGATAGAAGAAGCAACCTAGCTGAACGTTGAACAATTCCCAATGCAACAATATGGTTGCCATGCCACGCAGTGTATGTTCTCCCTGTTTCTCTATTTTTCTCCCTCTCTCTCTCTCTCTCTGTGTGTGTGTGTGTGTGAGTGCATTGTAATGCTAATTTAAATAACGATAAGCTCAACAACAACAGTTGCAGGAGCAATATTGGTGAGGATGGCAGCAGCGACAACAATGGCAACAATAATAGGAAAACAATTTGGCATTCTGTGATTTTGTCATCTTTTCACTATTGTTGCTGTTATTGTTAGAGCTGTTGCTGCGCTTCAGTTGCGTCCATTCGCTAAGCAATGCATTTCCAGTCGGCTCCCAGTTGAAAGACGTGCCTTCTCTCAAGGAAAGGACCTTAACTTTCAACTTCAGAAACCACAATATTGTGGCGGGAGTCCGGAATTGCGGCAATGGATGCTGAAGACTTTTTTTCATTCTGCATTAAAAGGTACACATTTTTCTTTCGTCCAGCTTGAATCTCTCAGGACTCAAATGATTCTCTTTAGATAAACTCCTGCTCCTTTTCCAGCCATGTGTTTTTCCACTTTAAACTTCAAGTAGCAAAACATTTTCTTCTGATTTATTCAAGAGAGTATTAAGTCTTCATCGGGTATCAGAAATACGTTTCTTTCCAGTTGTGGAGGGGGTGCTGCCACCCATATAAGCTGTATTAGCGTGTGAGAGAGGGAAAAACAAATAATAAAGCCACTTGCGCATAAAGAAGGAAACACACACACACACACACACATACAAAAACTGCAAACACTACAACAAAGTAAAAAAGTTCTGCATACTGCGTATGCGAGTATGGAGCGTGGAGCGTGGAGCATGGAGAATGGAGCATGGAGCATGAAGCATGACTTTCAAAACGGAAGGGGGGCGGGGAAAGAGGGGCTACGGGCTGGTGGCATTATCCTTTCTATCACTTGTCACATTTTCACATAATGGCGTCATTGCTGTTGTTGCCGCCTGCTGCCTGCCGCCTGCTGCCTGCCGCCTGTTGCCTTTCGCCTGTTGGCGGTGCTGCAGTTGCGAACAATGAATACATTTGTAATGTTAATGGAATGCAGCGGGAACAACATGGAAACCAGAACGGGAACAACGCCAACCATTTTCCGTCCGCCATTGTTGCTGTTGTTGTCGCCTATATTTGTTTGTGTTTATCAGGCATTCGCTTTGCTCTATAAAAGCAGAGCTCCCTCCCTTGCACACACACACACTCGCACAGCACGCCTACGCGCACCCTCCGCCATCCGAGGGCTTCACTTCATCAACAATGTTCTGGTTGTCGGATTCATAGCGATGGCAGCGTGAGTCCTAAGATAGTAGTGGCAGAATACCCACAAAAACCTATGGAATGAAGCGATAGGGAACTAACAAAAGGTGAAGATCCTCGTTAACATCGAGACATTCTGAACCTTAGGGTCTCCAGAGATGGCAGAAAGCCTAGGATCAGGATCCCAGACCAAAGAC